CCTATCGAATTGACCAGGGCAGGTGAATGTCAAAGGGAGAAAGATTCACATCAGAGCATCAAGTACTGGTATTTAGAGGGTGGGGTGAAGGAAGATACCCTGAGGTCATTGAGTGTCTTGACAGGAAGTTGGAAAAGGAGAAGAAACTTTTCCTCCTTCACAATGTTCCCTACTGCCTAAAGTGTACTAAGAACCCATACACTATCTTTGTATGTCGTTAACAACATGAAGCACGGCTTAGATCAGGAATCTTTTTGCAAACTGTTAGACGAAAAACCAAATAAGCATAAACTTCTCAAAAGCTCTGTTATCCTGTTTCACCATGATAGGATCTCCACCCTAAACTTCCACTTCTTTGAATCTGCAGCACATAGCTCCCACAGTTCCTTTTCAGTTTTGAAATTAACATTATACAGTATCTACTGCCATCTTGTGATCATCCTTAGCAGCTCCGTGCCAAAAAATACCACTCAAATGGGTCTATCTAATAAGTTTTCTCCTGTTTAGTTTCAAGTGAAATTATTATACTATATTAAGACTTTGGATTACTTGTATTTTCAAGAGAAATTTAACATTTATTCCGTGCTAACTCTAATTGCAGCCTGATAGTCTGTGGCCCTGGAAATCAGTTAAGTCACAATTGACACTATCTCTTCCAGCTAGTCAGTCCAATCAACAATCTTATTGAATTTTCACCATGAGCTGAAAGTGTTGTACAGAATTATAAAGGAAATCATCATGGTACCAGTCCCTGTCTCCCCACCCCAAAATGTTAGGTCTCAAATAATTTAGAGACTATTTCATTAAGTTGCTTATAGTATAGACTTGATGTTTGACTCACCTTATCTTTGCAACTATCCCCTTAGAGTAGGGGTTCTTAACCTTTTTGTGTGTCATGGACCCCCTCTAGCAGCCTGGTAAAATGTATGGACCTCTTTTCAGAATCACATTTTTAAATAATTCAAGGAAAAGTCCTATTTCAGTTGGAGGTTACTAATAATAATGATGCAATTTTTCCCCATCCAAGATCAAGTACTCCTTGACATCTATCCACAGACCTGTTGAAAGTCCTTGAACCCCAGGTTAGGAACCCTTGTCTTAGAGGGAGGCTGAGAGGATAGGGCTCCAAAAAAAAGTTCAAGGCTGCAGAAGGTTCAGCTGGTGTATGGACAGAGGTGCCATGTAGAGAAAGGAATGCAGAGCAACCATCCTTATCCAGCGAAATGAACTCAGATCCAGCTCTGCTGCCAAATGTGGCCAAAACTTTCTGTTCTCATGAAAGCTCGGTAGATCATCCAAAACAACAGATAATCCAAAAATCATATTTATTTGACTCAGGAATGTATCACTGGATTTTACTTGGCAATGTGCTTTCTATTCTCCAAAAAGGCTATTTGGCACAAGGGCTGGAATACTTGTCTTGGGACCAGGAAGCTAGGGGTTCAAAATCTTCCTGGGATACTGTATAAATATGGGAAAGTCATTTAACATCGCTTTTCTGAGCCTCAATGTGCTCTTCTGTAAAATAGAGATAATAATATCTGTACCACCGACTGGGGTTCTAGTCCCACCTTTGACCTATACTGTCCGTGTAACCCTGGGCAAATCTCTGAATCTCTCATTGTCACTGCCTAAGTAATTACAAGATTGCAGGGTAGTTGTCAGTCGGCATTGGTAGATAGCTTACTTACCAAGCATTCCTACACCAATGAAATCACGGGTCCAGAACCAAAAAGAAGTACCTATCTCACAAAGTTGTTGTGAAGCTCAACTGAAAGAACATATGTAAAGCACTTTGCAAACTTTAAAGCAGTTATATACTTGTCTTCTTCATTTTCTTCTGGTTTGTTTGGTTTGCCCTGAGCTAATATTGAAAATAGTTTTCCTTCTCCTGGCATGTGTCAGCTGATGAAAATTACTGAGAGGTAGGGGGAAGCCTCTCTGCTATTATAAACTGTGTTTGGGGATAATTCACATGCAAATAATCAGAAGTCAATCGGTTAGCTCTATCATGACTATGCTTCAGTCCATTCTAAACAGTACTAAGAAAAAAAAAAAAACTCCCAGCCTTTAACATGTCATGAGCACAGCATCAATAGAAAGGACCACAGAATATTGGGATTTTCCATATTGAGCAATGGGATTGTTCACTATTATCATTTCATGTATATCCGAAAGATTTGATGTTTGTTCTATTGTGTACCTACAATCTATTGAATGTTCAATGCAACCTTCACCTTCATCCCAGAAAACCCATTAATCTAACCCTCCGGAGCAAGGATTCCCAACTTTTCCCTGATCAATGAACTGTGGTTATTTCACTGGCTTTGCTACACCCTAGCTCCCAGCTCCTGGTCCTCAAGTAAAAGAATTACCTAGAATATAATCTTATTGTTTAAATCAAAATGGATTTTGGATTTATTTTTGGTTAAATTGATTTATTTTGATTAGAAAATTTCAGGACAGTAGTTAAAGTAATTAAAGTGATCTTGGAGCTAAGAATTGCTGAAGTAGAATCTTGTTTCACTTGAAGCTCAAACTTACTGCCACCACCACCATCACCCCATCTAAGAAAAAAAACAGCTCTGGGTCAGAGTTCAAGCAGACTTTCTTCATCTTAGTGACTTTTTTTCAAATTCCCTAGTTCATTGTCCTTATGTCAGAGTTCCAGGGAAAATCCCTTGAACAAGACTTATGTCTAGATCATCGCTCATAAAAATTAATAGTGTCCCTTTGTATTCCTGTACAAAGCAGTATGCATCAGAAATAGGACAGTTATTTATTTTCTCCACCCCAAAAGAAATGCCTGATAGACACAAATGTGCATTGTTGTTATTGTTCAGTTGTGTCCAAGTCTCCATGAACCTATTTTGGGTTTTTTCTTGTTTTGTTTTGTTTTTTGTTTTTTGGCAAAGATACTGAAGTGGTTTGCCATTTCCTTCTCCAGCTCATTTTACACCTGAGGACCTGAGGTAAACAGAGTTAAGTGACCAAGGTTACACAGCTAGCATGTGTCTGAGGCCATATTTGAACTCAGGAAGATGAGTCTTCCTGATTACCAACCCAGTGCTCTATCCACTGTACCACCTAGCTGTCCAAGTGTGTATTAACAAATATTTAAAACATGAAATAATTGCCTGTCACCTGTTAGGAGACAAAGATAACTTTGTAGAAGAGCGCTCTTAGAAAGTATTTTCACATCTATTATTTCATTAAAAATCCAAGAACAGCACTATGAGGTAATTTGTTTGTTGTTTAGTCATTTTAGTCAAGTCTGACCCCATTTGGGGTTTACTTGGTAAAGATGGCAATGGTTTGCCATTTCCTTCTCAAACTCATTTTACAGATGAGGAAACTGAGACAAACAGGGTTAAGTGACTTGCCAAGGGTCTCACAGTTAGTAAGTGTCTGAGTCCAGCTTTGGAGTCAGGAAGATGAGGCTTCCAAACTCTAGCCTTGGCACTTTATCAGACCCATTTTGACCATGAAGTTAAGTGACTTGACCAAAGTCGCCAAGCTAGCAAACCAATTGAGTCTAGTTCAAAACTCAAGCTCTTGACTCCAAATTTAGTGCTTTTCACATTCTATCAGAGTTGTCCCCTACATGGCACAACCTCTCTAGACCTCAGCAACCTTCTCCACAAATTGAGGGAATTGGCCTAAAAGTCGCTTCCAACTATAGTTCTCTGATCTAGTCATAAAGGCTCTTCTGAATTTCATGGTGTTAACTGCCATGGAAACACATAAAAATAAGCAACATCTTTTGGCCCCAAGTGTACTAAACCACTTTACATAAAAGTTTTTGACCATGCCTAATGGAAGCTTCCTGACCCTAGTTTTACAGAGCTAAATCTGAGGTGACCCAGTGTTACAGTTCACTCACTACTGTCTCTTAAACTCTTTATTTCATCGGAGACCTTCTGAACCTGAACAGATTTTGCTCCGAAAAGTCTTGTTATAAAGTCTAAATCATCTGATACTTAGCCCATGCCATCTACAATGTGACCTGTAACCTGATTATAGACATTAGAAACTGACTGCAAGTTATAGTACCAATTTCTCACAAACTGTGTTGTGTAAATGTGAACATTTTAGAGAAGAATTCAGCATAGGCCCTTCACTTTTTATTCTAATAAGCTTATATCCAAAAACCAAATCCCATCACAACAGATATCTCTGTATAAGAAAACCAATTTCCCCTCTCCCCACCCTTCAGTGGATGGCCACTAATTCAAGCAATGTCCAAAACAACAAATGTCCTGTATGTCAGAATCATAGGTTTTGAGCTGAAAGGGACTTTAGAGGTCATCTGATCAAACATCCTAATTTTATAACTCCCCTAAAACCAGAGCTAAAATACAAATCCAAGTCCTCTGACTCTAAATCTAGTGTTCTTTCTGCTGTACCAAATGGCCTCATGAGAATTTGAACAATTCCTTGAAGTTCGCCGTAATCAGATTTGACATATACAGCAAAAATCTCTGTAAAACAAACCAAAAAATGTCACCTAGCTGTTAGCAGAATCCTAGGATTTTGCAACTAGTAGGTTTCTCAGATGCCATCAAGTCTGACTCAAAATGGCTTCATTATACCCAAGGTTTGAATCTTGCCTCAGATACTTAATAATTAGCTGTGTCAACCTGGGCAAGTCATTTAAACTCTCCCAGGCTGAGATTCCTCATCTTTGAAATGGGAATAATTACAGTATCTACCTCAAAGGGTTATTATAAGGTAGAGATCAGATTTTAAAAGTGCTTTACAAACCTGAAAATGCTGTATAAATACCAGCTATTATTGTTGTTGTTATTACTAATAGTAATAATAAATATTTGACAAATAAAAAAATTTAAAAAAAATTTTTTAAAGACTTCATTATTTAGAACAATATTTGACTCAAATTTTTAATACAATAATGCAATTACTTGTATTTACATTGTATCTGGTATTAAGTGAGTATTTTCCAGCAGAGCACTCAACCCTTTCTTTTGTTTTTCCCACAGGAGGACTACAACCAACTGAGACCACTCTCCTACCCCAACACCGATGTGTTTCTGATCTGTTTTTCCGTTGTAAACCCAGCTTCTTATCATAATGTCCAGGAAGAATGGGTACCTGAACTGAAAGGCTGTATGCCACATGTCCCTTTCGTCCTCATAGGAACACAGGTTAAAACCTAAGATGCAGATGTGGGTGGGTGTGGGTGGGTAGGTGACTGTTAAGAAAAGTCCGAGGATCTTTTTGAAAATCTTTGAAAACTGACCTTTTGAATCTAATAAGTACATTGTAGAAACATTTCCTTTGCAAATGCTTCAGGATCTTTCATGTAACCTAGCCACAATCATTTGACCCATACAAAAGAGAGGTGAAGAGCTAACTTAATAGTGGTCTTCACATACATGAATCTAGGTATAGATGTTCTCTATTTCATTTAAGAACACCTCTCCTCACCGTCATCTTGGAAAAGAAGATAAAACTGGAATATTTTATTGGTATTGCATGAACAAAATGGTAGTTATAGAACTCTTTTAAGTTCTTTATAAACTAACCAGGTTTTATAAATATAAGAAATATTTGATAAATAAGCAATACTGTTAATCATGTCCCTTTCTACTTAAAAATCTTAAATGGTTCCTCACTGCCTACTGAATTAAGTCCAGGCTCCTTAACGTAGAATCCAAGATTCTTCACGGTCTAAGTTTAACCTCCCTTTCCACCCTCATCTTGTATTTCTTCTATTTTCTTCCCCTCCTCTTCCACCAAAGTGGATTTTTTGCTGTTCCTCAAACACACTCCATGTTTTCCTGCCTCTGTGACTTTGTGGACATTTCCTTCCTCCTAGGGTGCCCTACTCTCCCAATGCTACTCATCTATACACATCTCAGGAAGCTCCTGTAAGGCCCCACTCAAATGTTATCTCCTTCTGAATACTTCCATGATCCCTATAACTGGATCATTGGATCCTTAAAGAAAAGGCATTGGGAAAAGTGCTGCATTTACAGTGAGAGAACATAGGTTCAAATACCAGCTCTGCTACTCACTGCTTATGTAACTTTTGTCAGGTAGTTATTTAACCTCTCTTGTTCCTCATCTATAAAATGAAGGGGTTAGACTAAATGACCTCTAAGATCCTTTCCAGCTCCAAATCTATGATCCTATAAAAAAAAATTTTTTTATTTCTTAAGATAATTTTAACAATTATCAACAAACATGAACATCTTGGTATTTAAAAAATAAATAAGGATTTTATATGAAACTATGAACTTCATTTAGATATAGTTGTTTCTTTTGTTTTTTTTTAAGGGACCATGTCTTCATTAGCCTCCTATTCTCCACAATTACTAACACAGTACTTTGCTCATTATAGGGTCCTCAATAAATATTTTTTGAATGAACGATTTTCAGATAGTTGCCATCATGCCCATACAAGAAGAATTTAAATATGGCATTGATCTTTACATATTTCCCTGGATTTTGTCCCTTTTTATTCAAGTGACCATGTCTGCAGATAGAAAATTGCATAAAGACTGAATGACACTGATAGTGTTAGGATTATAGGCATAGGTTCTCTTCAATATTATTTTATTTTCCTTTCTGGCTTTACAAAGGAAACTAGGGAGGGAAAGAAATCTACAAAGGGGTAGAGAGATGTTTTCTATATAAAAAAAAGATGCATATATTTGAATATTGTAAATTACATATATATATATGTATAAAACAAGCAAGAAAGAAGAAATATCCCATTTATAAATTGGGGTTATAATTCTGTTTTTATGAAAAGTATGCAAACAAGGCAGTATTGCCTGATCCTGGGTGCTCACTACAAAAATAATAGACAAAATTAAAACACTCTATGTAACTTAATGTCAATACTGCTTACTGAGATGCACTGATGTTGCTCATCAAGGCAGGAAATACACACTTCGTTAGAGATGAATAATGCAAGCATAATCACGTTTGGAATTAATTATTATACTTATTGCTTTTTGCTTCAGGTAAAAAGCCCATGAAAACTCAAAATATTCCCTGTCACTCCCATATGTACAAACATATGTGATATATAGCTATAATGTGATATGGCATTATTTAACATGAATGTCCAAATTCATCCATCCAAAAGAATGTTATCCACATTGAATCCTAAGGACACCATACACTTATTCTACTGTTCATTACAAACACTTTTAGAATTGTCTTCTTTTGAGCATGCTCAGTGGTGTCAAATATTCATCCTCTAAGGGTATATTTGATTTTTAGAAACAGCCAAAAGAGATTGGGAAATAAGCATGGTGAGTAAGCTGAATTAATATGAATTTAGATAATATCTTGGTGAAAAATAAAAATAATTATAAAATAACAAAACTCTTGTACAAATCATAAAGTAGCTCTGGAGGCAATTCCGAGAATATTCGGTCAAATGACAGGATCATAGGCATTAACTCATTGACTCCTCAGGTGACATTTTGGAAGGACAGCATTCATTTGTGATATGTACATTGTGTATGTTGTTTAAAAATCAGCCTTCTTACTTTATGGTCCTAACCCATGAATGTGGTTTTTCATTTCCCAGATAAAAAATTCTTGCAGTATGTTTGTAGGTTTACTGCTTCACAATGGAAAACATCTACTATAATTGGGGAAAACTGAGTTTGCTATATGTGCTCTTTTTGCTAGATTGATCTTCGTGATGACCCCAAAACATTGGCTCGGTTGTTCTACATGAAAGAGAAACCCCTCACTTACGAGCACGGAGTGAAGCTTGCCAAGGCGGTATGGTAAAATTTGAATGAAATCTTCAAATTTATTCTAGGAGAACAATTTGGAATGCTATATATGAGTGCTTTGGAACTGCCAAGAGCGGAGAAATTGCCATACTTTTGCTAGTATTCATTTCAAATCAATTCAACAAGCATTTATTTAGTGCTGGGCATTGAGGATACAAAGACAAAACTGAAATAGCCCTTGCCCTCATAAAGCTTACATTCTACTAGGGCAAATAAGTAAATATGTAAGTAAGGAAATAGTTATTCCTTCCACATCATGGTTTAAATATATCACAGGTCGGCATAAGAAATCAAATGGGAATTTTGGGGGACTTTTGCAAAAGCCACGATAACACACAAAGGTTAGCAGATGACACAGAAAAAAATTTAGAAACTCAAAAATGCATAAAATAATCATAGTATTGTATATCAACCCCAAATTTTACAATAAGGTACTATAAACACCCCATAAAAGGAAAAGGAAAAGAAAAAGAAAAAGTTCAGACTTCTTCTCTGGTACAAAGGGAGAGTCAAAAAATTTTAGGTGGATTTTCCAGATCGTGGAGGTGCTGCGCCCCTAATGTACTCCCTATGGAAGGGCTAACTGTGTAATTTAGAGGTGGGAAAGCACTAACAATTGGAGAAAGGAAAAGGGATCAGAAAAAGAATTTGTAGAAAATGTAATTTAAGCTGATCCTTGAATAGGTGAGAATTCAAGGAGCTGGAAGTGATGAGGGAAAGTATTCAAAGTTGGCTGGTTGTTGTCCTTCATTCTTGAAGAGGACCAAAATGACATCGCTATGCTACAGTCAAGTTACACTGTGTCTGACTGTGGCTGATTAGACCAATACGAGCTCAGAATGTTCTACCACAGATCAGGCACAAATAGCCCATGTGAATATTTGGGGTGGATTCTCTAAATTTGTGCATCTCAGTTTCTTTTGAGCTACTTCACAATTCTGCTTTGCTCATAAAGCACAGCACTTTCTCTGATGTGAGCACGCCATACTGGGCGGTCCTGTGCCAGTATCTCCCATGTCACACGATCAATTCCAAGGTTCTTAAGAGAGATCTTGAGTGTCCTTGTATCGCTTCTTCTGACCACCATGCGAAGGCTTGCCCTGTGTGAGTTCTCCACACAGCGTACATTTTGGCAAGTGTACGTTTTACATTTGAATTTAAATGCATCAGAGTTGTGCTCTCTGAAGTAGAGTTTGCATGCTTGGCAGTTTAGTTCGAGAAAGGACCTCAGTGTCTGGTACCTTATCCAGTCAGGTGATCTTCAGAATCTTCCTTAGACAATTCAAATGGAAGCGAGTCAGTGTCCTGGCTGGTATACCGATATATTGTCCAGGTTTCACAGGCATGCAACAATGAAGTCAGCACAATGCCTCTGTCGACCTTCAGTTAGGTAGTCAGTCTAATACCTCTTCTCTCCCACACTTTCCTTCGGAGTCTCCCAAACACTGAGCTAGCTCTAGCAATGTGTGCATCAACTTCATTATCAATGTGTACATTCCCCAGAAAATACACTACCAAGGTAAGTGAACTTATCCACAGCATTCAAAATTTCTCCACTTGCAAGGGGAGAGGAGTGCAGAGGGGAAGAGGGGGAACAGTCTGAGAAACAGCTCAAAGGAGACAGTGGAATTTTCTGAACAGGGAATAGTAAGTAGAGCAGTTTGGCTAGAATTTGGAGAATATGAAGGGCAGTGAAGTAAAATCAGTTTTAAAAGACAGATTGGAGCTAGATGATGAAAGGTTTTAAAGGCCAAAAGAGTTCATTATTTACCCTAGAGGTGATAGAGAGCCACTGAAATTTCTGGAGTGACATGATCCAACATATGCAATTGAAATATTGATTTGATGACTATACAGAGGATGAGAAGAAACTGGTTGCAGAGAGGCCAGTTGGAAGGCTGCTGCAGTATCTAGCAAAGGGTGATGAGAGTTTGAACTAGGTGAGTGGAGAGGAGACAGATGTGAGAGGATTTAACTTCTCTCCTGTAGCCTTGTGGGAATGGTTCATTTGATTAATGCGTTATCAAGCAGGATTGTCTATACCTTAATAAGAAGGAAATTTGGTTAATTAAAACATCTGAGGTTCTTATTGTTTGATTTAACAGCCTCCATGATTACTGTTTGCCACATTTTATGATAATAAAATCACTCATCCAGTCTGTTTATTTGTAAATCTCACTGCACATTACAGGTGAAACATTTGAATTAGCCTCTAGAGGCATTTTATGGTTGTCTCAGGAGAAACTTTAGACTAGCATCTAGCAATTTAATGTGTGCTTAATACTTTAAAAACTTGACAATAATTGATACAGTGGAATGAGTCCTAGATCTGAAGTCATGGGATCTGGATTCAAATTCCAGTCTATCACTATTTATGTGACAAAGAGCAAGTCACTTCATGTGGAAGGAGATGTAGGGCGTTGGAAATAATGCTGAATTTGGAGTCAGAGGACCTCAGTTCAAATCCCAGTTCTGTCACCTGTGTGACCTTGGGCAAGTCACTTAAAACCACTCTAAGCCTCAGTTTCCTCATCTGTAAAAGAATAAAGTTAGACTAGGTGACCTTGAAAGTCCCTTCTGTCTCTACATTCATGATCCCACTACACCTCGGGTCTCAGTTTCCTCATCTGTATAATGAAGTAGTTGTCCTAGAAGGCATCTAAGGTTCCTGATCCCCTTGGAGAATCTGTGCTGTCAAGAATTTTTAAAAGAGTAACTAAGACAAAAAATAACCACGGAAGGAATATAAACTTTTTCCCTGGGACTTACAACATAGTCACAGCTGGATTTATTTTTTAAATGTCCTTTCTTGGCAGCAATAGTTATTTTGTTATGAAAACTTTTGGGAAAATATTTGCTAAGTTCTAAATTCTGCTCATGTCTGCTGTGTCTCCCTGTTGCTGCAAATATCAGTCTAAAATGAATACCAAAATTCACTTATTGAGGATAAGCTTCATTTTATACAGTGAATGTGCTTCTGAAAAGTTTTCTGTAAATCAAATCATACTTCCCCATTGACATTTCACAAAACTGTCACTTCTGTGATAGCTCTGCTCCAAGACTATAGAAATTCACAAAACGTAACTGGTTGGATCCATATTAAATTTATATTGCTGCTCAATGATTTTTTTATTCATCATTGATTGTTGCTTTCAACACAAGTATTAATCTGAACCTTTTTCACTTTCTTTAAACTTCACATACACTCCTCTGTCCTGATGCCCCCACATTCCAAGCAAATAGCCTTGCTTCTTACTCACTTAGATCAAAACTAACTGAAGTGAATTCTCCCACTGACGTTCTAAGTTGTCTTTGGCATTCGTGGTTTGAAAAATCTGCCTGTGATTCGGTCCTCTGACGCCTGCTCCAGGGTCACTGCAGCCTGCCCAGCCCGGCAGGATACAACTTTCTGATCATCCATCCAGGTTGTCTTGGGCTATAAATTTGTTTCACTTTGTCTTTTTGTGGTTTCTGCTGCTTTAGAATTTGTTTAGACCTATTTTTATAGGTATTTGGAGGGGTCTGGGGGAGAGTTCAAGCAAGTCACTGATTTTACTCCAACATCTTGGCTCCATCCCCCTGAAGTGAATTATCTCAGTTTTTTTTCCTCCATACCTCAAAACCCTTCTGTCTTCATCCATCCTTTCCTCTTTTCTTTCTGATGGAAGGAAGGAAGAAAGAAAGGAAGACAGGAAGGAAGGAAGGAAGGAAGGAAAGAAGGAAGAAAGGAAGAAAGGAAGGAAGAAAGAAAATGTCTTTGCCATTCATTTCCTCTACCTTTCTCCAAATCTTTGCACTATCAAACACATCACTCTGCCTTCTCTCTGTGTTCTTCAATGTTTCCCTCTATACTAGCTCTTTCTATTTTGAAGGAAAAGATCTGTGGTGAGGATTCACAGCACAGAGGACAAAGATAGGTTCTCTGCAAAAAATTATGTGGTGGAGAATCCTGAAGTTAGGATATCTTGGCCCTGGATCCCAATGACTCTGGAGGAGAAAGTGAGGCTGATGATTTTGCACAGGTCTGCCTCATTTACATCCAATTCACTTGCGTGTCAAGATATCACCCTCCTGATGTCATTGGTCCTCTTTGAGAATGAAGGACGAACAACAATCATGTTATAGCTAAGGAAAACAAGAAATAGAAAGATAAAGTGACTCACCCAAGGTCACACAAAAGGCCAGCGGAAGAACTAAGTGTAGAACCTGGGTCTTCTCATGAAAGGTAATGAGGTTTAACAGAATGTGTGCTGGCCTTGGAGGAAGGGAACCTGGGCTCAAATTCTGTTTCTGCTTTTGATTATGTATGTGACCTTAGACAAGTTACATCCTCTCTGGGTCTCACTTTCCTCATTTGTACAATGAAGGGTCTGGATTTACTGACCTCTGAGTTCTCTTCCAGCTGTATGATCCTATGACTCCATGACTAGGTTTCTTTTAACCCTTGGGTTTAAACAGGATTAGTATTCTTATTTTCTTTCTATTGATAGCTCAACTAAGAAGGAGTCTAAGTCTTGCCCCAGGTCATATAAACAATGGCAAAACTGGGCCAAATATCTAGTCCTTCTAATGCCCAGCCTATTTGATGAATGGTCCAAAGAATCCTTTAATATTTCCATCTAGCATCAGTTTTTTAACCCAGGGTCTTTGAATTTTGCATTCTTAAAAAAATATTTTTGTGTTTACTGTACTTTTGTATTTTTGATGTTTTGTTTACTTTTAACATAATTGGTTTCCTTGGTAATCCTATGTATTTTAAATTATTCATTACTCTGAGAAAGAATCCAAAGGCTTCACCAGACTGTCAAAGGTATCCATGGCTCAAAAAGGTTAAGAACCCTTCATCTAAAAGGTGCTTCTATTCCAGGGGATTTCACCCTCATTTTTCTATATGATATGGTGTATATGATACACCACAGTGTATCTAGACACACTTGCATTTCCAACTGAATTGGAAGCCCAGAAATCTTGGACTTTTTCCCAGACTGTACCAAGGCGAGATATGGCAAGTCACCATTCAGAGTAAAGACAGAGGGTGTGCCCTCAAGCCTGGATTACTGCAATAGCCTTCTGGTTGATCCTCCTGCCTAAAGTCTCTCCTCACTCCAGTCCATCCTCCACTGAAGTGTCAAATTGATCTTCCTAAAGCACGTTTTCACTCCCCTACCACCATTCAGTAAACTCTGGTGACTCCCTGTCATTTGTAGAATCCAATATAAAATTCCCTGTCTGAATTTTAAATCCCTTCATAATCTGACTCCTTCCTATCTTTCCAGTCTTCTTATACATTACTCTTCTCCACATACTCCATGATGCAATGACTAGCCTCCTTCCTACATGTTTCACAAGACTCTCCATCTCTTGACCCTGGGTATTTTCACAGGCTGTCCGTCATACATATCCTCCTGGCTTCCCTGGCTTCCTTAAAGCTTCAATTAAAGCCCCACCTTTTGAAAGAAGACTTTCTTTGTCCTCTATAACCCCTCTGAGAGCATTTCCAATTTATCCTGTCTATATCTTGTTTGTAAGTAGCTATTTGCATGTTGTCTCCTTAATTAGACTGTGAGTAGGGACTATTTGCCTTTCTTTGTATCCACAGTGTTTGGTCCATAGTAGATGCTTAATATGCTTGTTGATTTGACTTAACAGCACCAAACTCCCTAAATGATGAATTTCTAAATCCTCAGAGTCTTCAAATGACTTTACTCACCCCATATAATTTCTGAAATCATAACAACGTGAAAGTCTTTAATGACTGATAGAATTTATTACAACCAGTTAGACACACTAACTATAAAATAATTAGAAATATCTTCTGGTATTTTCCAAGATGACTGTTGGGAGTGGCTAAATGGCAAATAGTCATTAGACTGAAATGTTAATTATATTATCATGCTTTAAAGATTTGATAAAAATCAAACAAAATAAACTTGGGCAAAATCCAAAAACAAATGAGATGACATATTTTATGACATAATTAGGGAATTTATGTCTCTGCCTTTTATCTCTCTCTCCTATCCAACTGTGTTCTTTAATTATAAAGTAGCTGTGCCATTGCAAAGACCAAACAGTGAAAAAATGAAAGTTGTTTTAAAAATAGCCCTAACCTTTAACATCTAATATCCTTTCCTTTGGTATTTTTCTACCATGGAGCAACATTTTTTCACAGCTACTAAATTCAGGGTACTTTTTATAAAAGTTTCAGAAAATTTTATTAATACTATCTCTCCTGTCACTTACTGTGATTATTCCCCAAAGCTCTAATTTTGGCACTGTGTCCTCCATTAAAATGTAAGCTCTCCAAGGCAAGCACTGTCCCCTTTTTATATTTTTATCCCCAGTGCCTAGTATGGTACATGGCACATCAAAGATACTTAAATACTTCTTCATTCATGTGTTTAATATCCACATGCTCTCCATTAACCATCTCATTATTCCCATAGCTTCAGCAACCACCTCTTTGCAGAGGACTACCCAACCTAGACATCAGCTGTTAACTCTCTTCTGAGACTCAGAACCTACAGGGCAGCCCTCCTACCAGGCCTTTAAACTCAACATGTCCAAAAATGAACCTTTTTTCTTTCCCCTTGTGCCTTCCTTTCCTTGTGACTTACTATTTCTGTCAGTACTCCCACCATTCACCAATCTCCTCTACTCAAACTTTTGGTACTTTTATTGACACTTTCCTCTCCATCACTTCCTCTATCCAACTAGTTACCAAATCCTATTGATTCTATTTCACCACTCTCTTATCTATGTTGTTGTTGTGTGTTGTTTACTCAATTCATTTGTGTCCAACCTTCATGACCCCATGGACCATACTATCTGAGGGGTTTTCTCAGCAAAGATATTGGACTAGTTTGACATTTCCTTCTCCAGTAGATTTAAGACAAACAGGATTAAGTGACTTGCCCAGGGTCACACAGCTAGTAAATGTCTGATGCCCAACTTGAACTCAAGAAGACATCTTCCTGATTCCAGGCCCAATGCTGCATCCACTGAGCCACCTGGCTGCCTCCTATCTATGCCTCTACCTTTCTCTCTATTCCTGTTGCTATTACCCTAGTACAGGCCCTTGTTCCCACTGCTTGTTTTATTGCAATAGTTTCCTAGTAGGTCTTCCCACCCTTACTCCCCTTCTATAATCCAAACTTTATATCATTGCCAAATTAATCTTCTTTTACATAGATCTGGTCATGCCATTAATATGGTCAGGAATTATTTGTGGCTCCCTTATACCTACTGAGTAAAATCAAAATTTCTTTTCCTGATATTCAAGGCCTTCCACAATATGGTACCACCCTACCTCCTAATACTTTACTATTACTTTCCTCCAGGCATTCCATGCTCCAGTCAAACTAAGCTCCTCTCTGCCACTCAGATAAGCATTGTACTCTCCTTCCTATCAACCTTCACCTTATTCCCCAGATCTCCAATGGCCTCCCTCCTCTTCATGTGTTGAATATTACCCGCCCTTTAAAGCCCAACTAAAATGCCACTCCCCTCCATGAAATCTTCCATAAATCCCCCCCCCTTAGTAATGGCTTTGCCACTCAGACCTCACATCACACTTTTTTTAGACCTCTTTAATGCTATATTAGAGGTAGCTAGATGGCTCAGTGAATAGAGTGCTGGGCCTGGCTGGAGTTAGGAAGACCTGAGTTCAAATCAGGCCTCAGACACTTAGCTTTGTGACCCTGGGCAAGTCACTTAACCTCTGTTTGCCTTAATCTACTGGAGAAGGAAATGGCAAATCAGTCCAGTATCTTTGCCAAGAAAATCCGATGGACAGTATAGTCCATGGAGTAAAAAGTCAGACATAACTGAACAACAATCGGTGCGATGCTCTGTGTTCTACAATATTTCTTATGTATGTGTATATATAGGCTATATGTTATCTATTATAATTATTATTTTTATTATTATTGTCATGTTATGTGACCCTGGTTATGATCATTGTTGCTCATTTGGCATCTTAATTTTTTATATACTTAAAATAATATGTAGGAGACATGCCCAGTTCCTATAATGCTTCCAGCTAAGAAAGTAACAAACAAAAGGGGTCATTTTTGGCCAAAAAATAATGCCTTCAAAACTCCAAAGAACAAAAACAAAAAAACCAAACCAATTTATCCCCAGCCCCTTCTGTGTAAACCAATAGCTGGGACAGAGAGCAAAAAAAGTTATCCAAAGGCAGTGGTTACGAAACCCAACTCTATCCATAAGCTGACCTTTGGTGGGATTTCATGTCTTTTTTTTTTCTCCTTTATGTTTCAGATTGGAGCACAGTGCTACTTGGAATGCTCAGCCCTGACACAGAAAGGCCTTAAAACAGTCTTTGACGAAGCAATACTCGCCATTTTTCACCCCAAAAAGAAGAAGCAGCACTGTTCCAGGTGTTGCCACAGCTGCTGCACCATTGCATGAGGTTATTTGAGATACCATTCCAAGAGCCAACAGGAAAGAATGCCACTTCATCTTGGGGCTCCCATATGCCCCTAGAGGGAGTACATGACCAGAGCAAGAATTTACTTCAAAGCAAGGTCTTCCTCCAGTCTGTGAGATTTCACATTACTCAGCCAAATATTCTTTTCTTCCTCAAGTCCCATGCTCTAAAGAAAAAATGCACTGAGCCAATATTACAGTCAGGACAGCTGTTGATGATGTTGAAAACAAAATAAAAGGCATCACACATCTTTATATCTTCACCTCCAGTGAATGTGAAGATGTAGGGAAATTCCTCCAGATTCTGTATCAGACCCTAGAGACAGATTCAGTTACAGTTTGGCAGCTTTAATAGATGCCTTTAACAATATACACAAATCCAATACAAATTTGTCAGTCAAATTTTTTCCTTGAACTGCTATCCTATCCATATTTGTCTTACACAGATTTGCAGTTTTTCAGGAAGCTTATTCTGTCCTGATTTATCCCACTAAATCAGCCTATATAGAGTCTGTTTCATTAACATTTTATAGTCTCAATGTTCACACCAAAGACTTCAGAATCAACATTTACCTCCAATCTCACTTCTGAATATAAGAAGCCAAAGAAAACTTTGAGACTTTATCAAAATATCTAGATAGAGCCATGCTTACCAAGGCTGACCAAAAGAGAAAGCCATGGGAATTTTTACAGACTTCAACCAGAAAAAAAATCATCCTTATTTTTCCTGGAAGTCCTTATACATGAATCAAGGTGTCATGGGGTCTATGGGTAGCCTGATTATCAGAGTGTTTACAGCCTATTTGATGATGGAATTTTAGAGCTAGGAGGATTCCCAGAGATCATCTTCATTTTACAGAAGAGGAAAATGATCTGAAAAGCTCAGAGCCTTGTCTGAAGTGATTCATGGATCAGAGAGATCTGCATTTCTCACCCAAATTGAAAGAATGGGACAGTTCTAAGAAATATCTGGATGTGGGCAGAATGAGTCTTTTTGACTTCATTCTCCCTTTCTGCCCACAGTGACGCCTCCTTTCCACTTGTCAAAACCTGCTCCCAAGAAAGAATTTGAAAATCTTCACCCTGAAGTGGAAAGGTCTGATTTAATGCAATTAAATTCAACAAACATTTCTTAAGTACCTACATAAAACCCTGTCAGATATTGTATATCCTTCCTGGGCTATTATACGGTAATAGGCCGCAGAGCCATAACTAGGACAGAGCAACCATGACTTTGCTCTAAATTGAGATGGTGCAAAAAATTTAACAAATACACTCCTTAAGAAACAACTGAATGTAGCAGCTAGTGCTCTAGAATAATTATTTAAAATAAAGAGTTACTAGATAAATAATACCCATCTGGGAACCCTTATAGTGACTAGCTCCCCTTCCCACTCAAAGTGGTTTATCTTAAATATTTCATATAAATATATATATATATATATTCATATCATGAATTACAAAGATAATCTGAGGGCACAGTTTTATGCTGCCTGCCCAAGCATTAAAATTACTACTTATATTTCTGTTAGGCAAATACATACTGAAGCTACAGGGTGAAAAAGCTCCCATGGCAGAATTTCAAACATCCACTAGCATGTATAAGAGTTACTTGTTGGATCAGCAAGATGTTCTCAGCCATCTGAAATTATGCCACAGGGTTATCTATCTGCTCTTCCCATGTGGGAGTCGTTTCCCAAGACTGCTAAACAGAAAGCCTCAGAAAGTCTCTAAAGATCAACCATGTTTGACTGGAAGGATTTTATCACTTTCTACTAATTGCTTAACTTGCAATAGCTTGTCCTGGTTGTTGCACAGTGTATCCTATTCTATGTCAGGAGCTTTCCTCAGTATGGGTTACTTAGCATGACATACTGGTTCTTCCTTCTCCCTATACTCATCATCATGGATAACTTTTTAGGAGATGTCTCGGTACCATATTCAGGAATTGTTTTTCACTCAAGTTACAGACTCAGATAGAAAGCTTATACCTAGGAGAATGAAAATTGACCAATAATACTGGGAAATCAAATTAAGTCTTAACCTTTTCTCTAAGACTCCTCCCTCGAACCAGTCTTTTTTTTTTCTTTTCACAAGAAAGCAAGTTACTGCTATGCTTGTAATTAGAAACAATAAGAACTTATTAATTCATTTTACAGATACCCTGGAAATGCCTAGGGAGTGTCTTTATTTTATTTATTTTATATCTTACTTTCTCTTAAAAGTTCTGTTCCCAGGCATAGAATGGCAGTATTTATACTTCTGAACACTGCCAGGCCCAAATGATATTAAAAGAAGATCTGTCTATGAGGCAACTACAGGAAGAGAGAGGCAGGCTTGGAATAAAATCATATGAGAAGCGCAGAAACAAACTGCAGGGGACAGGATCATTCATTCCTTTGGAATTTCCCTAGGAAGTTGGTCTATCTTGAGCATTACCCCCTGGATATGTAGGACATACTTGATACTGCCATATCCCTTCCATGTCATCCTTTCCCTCTTTCATCCCTCCTTCCTTTCATTTTTGTTTACTGTCCCTTCTTACCTGATCCCTTCTCTAACATATTCTCAAACATTTATTAAACAAAAATAGGAAATCTGTAAGTGGCACACAGATAGTGAGAGGAAATCAAATACTTTCAGTTTTTGCAACTAGAAATCCTCAGGCTATAAAATATGACTCCATAGAGACCACCAATTTCATCTTGTTCATGCAGTAATAATCATTCAGCAAGGTTACAAATGAGATACCATCGGCCAGTTTTGCTATGATATTGCACACTCGCTTCTTGCTAAATGGAGTCTAGTTAACATTTGCTAGTGCGATTCCAAAAGGGAGTGACATTCAGTAGCTACACTGAAGAAAGTTTTCAGGATTTATACATAGCCCTGCCATGCTTCTCTCTGGGTTTGCACCCACCTGCTGGGCAATAAGGATTAACTTGCTTGTTGTGTAAATGTTTCTTCATTTACTCTTTTGAACCCTGGGAATGAAATTTAGGGCTCTAGGATTTGGAGCTGAAAGGTACCTCAGAGTCACCTGGTTCATAAGACCAAACTCTTCGTTTTACAGAGGAGGAAAATGAGGCCAAGATAAGGGAAGGCTCAAGCTGATAGGGGTTGTAAGTAGAAGGGCCAGGATTTAAACCAAGATCTGCTCATTCTAAATCTTTTAAACCACACTGCCTCTTGTTAAATCCAAAGAAGGAATAAAAAGGTCTATATGACCTAATCCCCCCACCTCAAATCAAGTTGAATTGAAAATGCTTATATAAACTAATCCCCCCACCTCAAATCAATCACTTGTTCCCTAATTAATGGCAGAATTGGGTTCATTGTGCTTTATTGCACATGTATGCGTAAAGACCATCTCTAATTCAACTATCTCATTCTACAAATAAGGAAACTGAGGCCTAGCATGGTTAGGTGACTTTGCCAAGTTCACACAGCTAATGAGTGGCAGAACTAGATCCCCTGACTCCCAAACTAATGGCAAATATTAGTATATAGCTCAAACACACTGGCTTACAAAATTGACTGAATGAATGAATAGATGGATGAATAAGTAATTTAAAAACTTCACTAGGTATGGGTATCAAAGTTTGACCAACCTGAGAATGGTGGCTTTTGAATGTATTGGGGAAAATCTATTTGCATGAACATCCTTTCTTGTTAAATTGGCTGACTGGACAAACCTTATGAAAAATGTATATCAAAGTGTGAAATTTCCAGGGAGGGTAATAATTAGATGTACCTGGGAAACACTAACAAGGTCCAGAAACGAAATGAAAGTATGAGCTATGTCTAGTGGCAGTTCCATCTTTAGCTGTTTGCCCAGTCTTATTTGGGGGAAATTTCTTTCAGAAATCTGCCAAGGAGATTCTTGCTCACTTGTGAATAACTAGGACATAAGTGTGCTCTAGCATTCTAGTTTTAAAATCTCACTGCAGCAAATCACAATGAAACTTGAATGGATAATTCTAGTCTCTTCTTTTTTGTTCTCTCAAAGAAGCAGTTATGTCAAAACTAGACCTTTTTTTTTCCTTTTAATCAGGTTCTACTCTGGCAAGTCTGTACTGTATGATTTTGATTTTGATGGTGACTCAAGGCAGAGTTAATGCTCAAGCTGGAGCCATTTAGTTTTATTTTTAGCCACAGTTTTCTCAACCGTTCTTGCATGGGAGATCAGTGCTGTGCTGAGCAGAGGTCAGAGAAGTAACTGCCTAGGAAATTGCTTATATGGGACATGTTATTAACATGTGGTGTTATAACATGTGGTGTTATCAGAGAAAGAGTGGCTGAGCACCAGGTCTAAGGGTCAACGCCTTGTCAAACTGCCATATGCCTTGAGTCTCTCAGTCTCTAAATGATTCATTTGATAGGAAGAGAATTCTCTCAGAGCAGGAACTATTAGTTTACTGAAGCTTTGCAAAAAAATATATATATAGATGATAGATAGATAGATAGATAGATAGATAGATAGATAGATAGATAGATAGATAGATAGATAGATAGGTAAACTTACAGTTAAAGGACCCTTCGAGCCATCTAGTCCAACACCTTCAATTTACAGATGAGGAAATTGAGGCCCAGATATATTAAAGGACTTGCTCAAATTCACACAGGCAGAAAGAGACTGAGACAGGATTTAAACTCAGGTCCTCTGATTATTTTCCGTTTTACTAGCCAACCAGTTCTCATCATCAAAGGTGGATTTAACCAGCTAGATTTTCCCTCCAATGGAGATTACTTACTTCAAGATCTATAGTTTAATCAATGTAGATATTCTCTCCATCACTGAAAATATGTAATGTTACTGGGCATATACTCAGAGCATTTCCAGTCTGTACTTTGCTAACACAGCCTTTAAGGGCCCACGATTACCTACATCCCACAACAAGGGATCAAAGGAGATTAATTGCCTGGGGAGAAAAACTAAAGAATTTGGCATTCTTTTGGTCAACCTAAGAATGGTGGCTTTTGAATGCATTGGAACAAATGCACACTAGGGCAATTGAATGCATTGGCACAATGTTTATTCATTCTGGGATTAGATAGTCAAGGAGTAGCTTGTTTTATTACAACAATATTTCCTCCACAAGATTACACCAGCGTGAGTGAATTCATACGCTTTCTAGGCCTTAGTTTTCTCATATGTAAGATGAGGCTGTTAGACTAGATGACCTCTATGTTCCCTTACAGTTCTAAATTTATGATCCCATGACCTGCCTCCCTTCTGGAGTATCATGTGTTCTTTTTTCTCAGAAAGTCCTAAGTATGAGCCAACCTAAAGATTCCATCCTTCTTTTCATTGCCAAATTAGTTAGTAAAAAGACAGTTACATGACATGGAAATGTCACTGTATATACTCTAAGTGAGGCTCAGTCAATGACATCTTAAAAATATTCCCTAGGCTGATACTCAAATTAACTACATAAGCCAGCCAATTTAAAAGGCTGCTGCTCTCCTTTATTTTATTTGTCCCTTGGGGTTCTTCTAAGCTCACTTCCCATCTAACAGTGGTAAGTGAATGACCAAGCCCCTCATGGACCATTACACCAAATAAGGGAAAAGTAGAATCTGTTTTGACAGAAGGCAAGTCTGAAGAAACATAGGTCAGAGATGCCACTGAATTTCTCTGATGTTTAAAAGGAAAGAAAAAACAAATACTTCCCATCCAAAATACAGTAAGTTCTTTTCACAGGGATCTGAAAAATAATGAGTCTGCTGCCGGTCTTATAGGGAACCTTGATAAAACTCAGATGTGGAAACCAAACAAATCAAGGGTAAAAGAAGCTGAATAAAATTATTCACCTCATGGCTCAAGAGAGGCTACATTCCAGGATGACAAGATAATGACCTAGTCTTGAGCATGACATCTCCTGAACAATGCATTACAGGTATTTTCTGCCTGAAGGAACTCCAATTCTAGAGTTTCTTGACAGTTTATTCATTCATTCAACAAATAATTTTTTTGAAGTATGACTGGGTACTAGTCAGATGCTCCAATACATGGCATCTTGCCCTCTGATTAAAACACTTTTGTCAGTAAGGAACATACGGAGAGCAAAACATAGTCACCTATCTCAGGAGTAATCTACAGTGGTCATAATTCTTTCCATGTGCTCCAAAGAGCTCTAGAAATTTTTCTTGATCATTAGTGGTCAGGATCTTAGTATCTCTACATCTAAGCTAGAGCCTCAGCTACCCTGATTCATATGGCAGGTCATTCACTGGGGCCCCATACATTCTCTGAAGACCCTATTACCTCTTACAAAGGTTTCCATTATATTTACTCTCCAAGTAGTAACACTAGTCCAGACACCATTTGGTTTTAATGACTGTAACCCAGGGTATTATGGTGACATGCAGCATGAATTCCTGTGCTCTCTAAGCTACAGGTCCAGAAAAAAATTAAAACAGCTTCTTAGAGAAGCCCTAAGCATTCTTCCATAAGGTGGCTTTTTATTTTCAATCAATAAACATTAAGCACCTACTACTTTTACAACCTAAAGTTCAGATCCTGCCTATGGAAAGATTGCAAACTTCTTTGAAAATTTCCGGCAAGTCACATTAGCATAGTGTAAGGAGTGTTGATCATGGAATCCAGAGGACCTGAATTTTAAATCCCACTTTGGACCCTGACTAGTTGTATAGCCCTGGATAAGTCATTTAACCTCCTTGAGCCTCAGTATCCTCAACATGTAAAAAGGGAATAATAATAGCACCTCCAGGGTTACTGTGAGATTCAGATATGGGAAGCATTTTGCGAACACCAAAGCACTATATAAATATCAAATATCATTTTAAAATCCAAAATGAACCTTCACCCAAGGTTGATTTTAATGGGACAAATTAATCACAATCATAGGTACATAGGTACTAGGAAACTATCATGAATCTCATAGCAGTTTCCTAAATGTAAGTGTATCTATTTGTCTCCCAGCTTTCACCATATATTCTCTCAGTGTACTTAACCCAACTACTTCTTTTCCTTATGCACAAAATGAAAAATATTTGTTTTCCTTTCAGGACAAATGAACAATGAGAAGGAAAAAAGATTGAGGGGGACAGATTTGGCGTGTGATATCACAGACCACCCTATATGACTACTCTACAGGCTTTATTTCCAAGTCCCTTACTTGCCTTTCCATTCAAAATGACATCACAGTTTGAGATATCTAGTGAGATCCACCAGTCAAATGAACATTTTCCCACTGAATTATGCACATCAATGTCTGATAACCAAAGTCTAAGCCCTGAATTTGTCACAGTTATTCTCACTTCCATAATTCCCATCCAGCAAACAGGCCAGGGTCATGTGATAAATTCACCCTTGTGGCAAGGGGTGTTTAACTTCATAAGCCTCTGTCCTGGAGCTCTGATTTAAAATTGACTATGCTGGAATCTGCATTGGGATATGTCCAAAAGCAAATGATCTATTTGTTTAAATGGGGAAACACCTTGTTGCTGGCTTCTTGATTGGGCCTAAAAGTGATCAAAATTTCATATTTTAAAACATTCCACAAAATATAGGTATGCTTATTCATTTTTAGTGGAGTTGGGAATTAGTACAACCATTCTTCAGAGCAATTTGGAATTATATAAATAAAGTGGCTAAAATGTTCAAACCCTTTGACCCAGAAATTCCCCCGTTAGGTTTATACCACTAGGAGATCATTGACGAAATGAAAGTCTCCATATACACTATAACATTTATAGCAGCACTTTTACCAGTAATAATGAACAGGAAATAGAATAGATATTCATCTATTGAGGAATGGTAACTAAATTACAACACATGAATGTTATGTAATATTACTGTGTTGGTAAGAGAAGACAGAGATGATTGCCACAGAGAAATATAAACTTACATGAACAAAATGAAAAGAAGTAGAACCAAGAAAACAATATCTACAATGACTACAGAGATGTAAGTGGAAAGAACAACCATGACAAAACAATCAAAAGTTAATGTCACAAAATTACAAAGGACAAGTTTAGTCCAAAAGAAAAAATAAAACACCTCATCCACTCCTTAGCAGAGGTGTGGAATATTGTATATAATGTCAATTTTTTTTCAATGTATTGATCATTTTTGCTGATTTTTTTTCTCTTCTTCCTCTTTTTCTTTAAAAAAGTTTCTTTGTAATAAGGGATGATTCTCTGGGAGAAGGGAAGGATGCAGAGAGAAATATAGGTGTTATAAAAACAAAAGCTATGAATAAAAGTCTATTTAAAAGAGAAGAGAGAGAGAGAGAGAGAGAGAGAGAGAGAGAGAGAGAGAAATCTACAACAAACCAGGACAATGATATTGGTATTTTTTTAATTGGAAAGAGGACAGATTTGTACTTTTTTAAAGAAACTGGGTTTTAAATTTCACTGAGTCAAATAGATTTCAAATAGATTCTTTGTGTAAATGTGAAGGGAGCAAAGAGGTATGAGTTAGAAGACCTAAGTTAAAAATGGCCCAAGTGGACGTAGGCTAGCAATTTACATCACTTAACTTTGATTCTAATATTCTCAATGCTGTATGTGGTCTCTGAAATCTAAAGAGAAGCAATACATGGAAAACAAGAAAAAATGTGATGTTCAATCATTTTATTTTATATAGGAACAATTTTCAAGCTAACAGGATTAACTTTCTATTTTAAATACATAATTCTGTCTCTATTTCCTTGATATAATGACTATTAACAATCCATCAATATCCTTTATTATATGTGTACATAGTATATTTTAAGAAAATAAATATCCTTTCAAATGATAAAAAGCATTTAATGTTGCCAGCTGGGGCAAGGGGGAACATGAGTGGGGAGGGACAAAAAGCACTTTTTTTTCTTTGAATAAACAATCCAGTTTTTACAATTGAAGATGCTTTAGGAAATTTCTGTTTTGTTATTGTTCAGTCATTTCAGTCATGTCCAACTCTTTGTGACCCCATTTGGGGTTTTCTTGGTAAAGATACTGAAGTGGTTTGCCATTTCCCTCTACAGCTCCTTTTACTGATTGAGGAAACAAGCAAACAGGGTAAAATGACTCGCCCAAGTCACACAGCTAGTAAGTATCTGAAGCCAGATTTGAACTCAGGAATATGAGTCTTTCTGACTCCAGGCCCAGCCCTCTATCTACTTGTGCCACCTAGCTGTAAGAAATCTCTATAGTTAATTATAAAAATGAAAGTGTTCAAGATCACTGCTATATTTTTCTATTTTTTATTGGTGTTAATGTATGGTTTTTTTCATATCATCTTTGTATCCCTAGCACCTACCGCTGGGTATTTTACTAAGCAAGCACTTAATAAATGCTTTAGAGATTATATTGGATAGCAACTGGCTTTCCTGTTTACTAGTCTCAATAATCACTTGGAATTTTGGTGCTTTTTACAATCCAATCTGCCTCTCTCCACCTGGAGTAGGAATTGCCCTACCCCAACTCAACATTTACTTAATCGTAAACAGGTACTGACTCTTCCCCAGTGTGGTATACAACAGAAATACCTGGAGCATCACTGAAAACTTCTTGAAATTAGAGAATTGTTTTCTTACAGAATAATAACCATGGTGCCATGCCCCTGGCTCCTCCTTGCTGTCTCTTTCTCTTTCTTCTCTTTTTTTCCTTTTGACCTATATTCTCTCATTACTCATTATTCTCTCCAAATTTTCCCATATCTTCCACTCCTGGAATAACCAAAGGCACTTAATACACTGAGATCTTCCTATATGTCTGCACCAAATTGAATCCCAAGTTATCAGTCCTCCCTTTAAGCACTTATAGGAGAAACCAGGAGATTTCCTTACCATATTTGGGGTTGCTATATAATAATCATCCTAGTGAACAATTTCTTCCCAGTATTGAGGTTCAATAATTCTAAGAATCAAAATTTTACTAATTTACTAATCCAACCAATATTTTTCATCAATTTAAACTTTCAGGATTAAAAAAAAACTATCTTTGAAAAGATACAGCTGTTGTGAAAGTGGCCACTTAATAGTTGACTGAAAGAAGCTGAAAGAAAGTAATGCATATCATTTTGATGAAAGACTTCCCTGGGTTAATGAGAAGTCATCCTGTACAGCTGGAAAACTTACTGTAATACACTTTGTTTTATACATGCTTCATTATTTTCAGTTAAGTGCTCTCAGTTCATTTGTTTCACCTCTGAGATAACTTTTGATTACATGAAAAACCTAATTAAATTTGAGTAGTAAGTAGCACCTTGTTATGAAATTACATAAATTATGTGTCATTCAAAGAGAAGGGTGTAAATCAAGAGAAGGGATCCTAGGAAATATTAATTTCCAATAATGAGCCTGACATCAACTCACTAACAAGGTTCTGACTTCAGAAGTAAAATAACATTGGCGGATTTATCTTTGTCATCTTTTGAAGACAAGGAGTACTAAGAAACAAACAAGTGAATTCACAAAAACAAATATCACAAAAGGTTCTCTTGCCCTTTCTTAATTGCAAAATAAACAAATCTCAGCAGAAAGTTAGTTGTTTTGGAGGTGGCTGTTGCTAATCATCTCTTCGTCACACAAGACACATTTTCAAAGAAACCCAAGTATGTTCTATGTCCCCATTTGGTCTTACCCCTAATTGCCTTTGCCTTGTGAGTCTCGACTTTTTTACTCCCTCATTTTTCACTAATTTTGAAGTTTGATTTGGGATCATAGCTATATTGGTCCAACCCTCTCACTTTATAGATCAGGAAATTAAGGCCCAATGAGGTTAAATGATTTACAAAGTCATAGAATAGAACTCAGGTCCCCTGATGCTAAATCTCTCACTCTTTCCACTGTAACATGTAGTAACATGGTATAGCTTGTGTCTAGGTTTTCTCAAATGTGAGTAAAAAGGGCGCTGCATTTAGTTCTCAAGTACTTTTAGTACCTTAACACACTAAATTTATGTCAGATATAAGACATCCTTTATTTCTCCCAACAGGAAAATTCGAAAGACGAAAATTACTTAAGGAAGTCTATAGAGAAAACAAGAAACACAGAGGGTATTCAAATAGCCCATTTTCCCCCCAAATAGTGAATTGGACTTGAGATTGATGTAAGGGCCACTGTCCTTTAACATTCTAATGAGTGTCTCTTTCCCAGACATTTACATACCGCAAGATTCCTAATCCCTCCCCCCAAGGAGCTGCTGATCAAGCAATCTCCTTCCCTCTGGACCTGCACTGCCTGCTTTACTCTCCAAGTAGGACAATGGACAGGATCCATGTAAGCTTTCGCTGTCCAGGAAATCTCCCATCTCTGCCCATAAAGCTAGATGGTGGCATCATATTGTCTAGAGATTTCAAAATTCTCCCTCACCTATCAGGAGCTGAGGTTCACAAATATTGTTGATAAATCCTGTGAGAAATATTAATACTAAAAAGCTAGGTTTCCACAGGATGCTGCAGTTTCAAGATGGCTAAGATAGCAAGCACCATCAACCAATCAACTTTTAGAAGGAGAATCTGGCTAACTGCAGTTTCTGATAAAGGGGACTTAGGCTGAAACTAGCTCAAACTGGTCAGGTCCAAGGGATGGTCACAGACTTTTTATTAGTAGCAAGGCTTAGTAAGACTCATAAATATTATCCAACACACCCCAGGGAGGGATTTTTATTCATTTACATAACATGGGAGGCATGATGAGGGTGGAAGTAACGTATCAAGAAGGGACATGAAATGGGCCAGTGCAGGAAGGTTGCAACCTGGAAGAGTTTGGACCAATCTGAGTTCTGAGGGAGGGACTGAATAGAATAACAGTATATAGTTCGATCTCGCTACTTTATCCTGACGCTTCTCTCATTAAACGTAATTAAATGATTCTTCTTTCACTCTGGACAATAGTTTCATTACTCGCCAGGAACTAAGCCTTCTTACTTTGTGGGGAGGGGGCTTGGTGGGCCTATTTATAACAATCCCTTCTCAGATCACATACAAGCTCATCTATACCTCTGTCATGTGTTTCTACTGTAAGTCACCATCAGCTTCTTTGGAATTGGAGAAGGAACCTGCTTATGGGTATAGGTCCACTTTACATCTGGTCTGTCTTTTCAAAGTCCTAGAATGAAAGAGAAAAAAATGGCAAAATTTATTTCACTCTTATACAACACAGGAAGAAATAGCTCTTCCACTAAGAGGCTCATCATCTTGAGTCAATCAACCATCTTGAGATTCCAATTTCCTTTCATCAAAGTACCAATGATCATGCCCACGTTCCATGGAGAGGTTCCTTTTAGATGTCTCCAAAAGGCCACACCTTGTAGCCTCATTATGCTGACTGAATGTATGTAAGGTGGATTTTGTTATTCTTTTATAGATAATAATTCCGAGGATCCTAGATACTAGTTCCCAGGATCCATGGCCATAACAATCTACTAGTTCCCAGGATTTCACATTGTAAACAATGTCTACTGCAACTGCACAGTGAGGTATAATGATAAGATAATGTAAACAGTTGAGTTTAATTGTAAACAGCCCGCTGTGTGTGTGTGCTATGCTAAGTCATCATGATATTGCTAAAGTTAATGTAAACTTGTGAGGCTATTGCTAGCAAGATGCCTTCTTTGTGT